TTGATGATAGGTGATGTAGCGATTCGATTTTACTGTTCAATTTTAAGCTGATCTCAGTTGACTGATCAATTCAGTATTGAGTATGACCAGTACGGTCTTCAAGTCATTATCACACTCAGTTATCGGCAGCAATTGTCGAAATTTTTGATTTTCCAACGTTCAGCTGCAAAACGTAGCTTTGCTGTCTGAGAATCACGGACTAGTTGTTGTCCGATAGTGCAAATATATCATTTCTGAAAGTTATCTTTCAATTTTTCCAATGATCATTGGATATATCCCATGCAGTTGATGAAAAACAGAAAACTGTTCCATTATCACTGACGCACTTTGAAATTCTCAACCATGCTAAATCTCTGTTTGATAACTGAAAGATTTGTTAATCTACAGACAACGACTAAATTTACTACTTTATCAGCAAATGTTGATTATTTACAGCTTTTGTTTTTGAGTGTTTTTGCAGTTGTTTTCGCCGATGGTTTTCATTTTCACCTTGATAAGTAAACTGGCGCCATTATTATTATTAGTTTGACGTCTTTCGTTTAAAATGCAAAGTGGAGAAATAATCAGCGATTGAAAACAAGCAGAAAATATTGTCGGTTACACTACGGAATCATTGTGATCGAACTATGGGTTCCACTAGAATGAGTTTATAGTGTAGCTGATCAGGCCACCACAGTCACCATATCAGAGCGTTCCTGGGTGGAGTGATTGAGATAGTACTTTGGACTATCAATCGTTAACTATAATATTTATATCGTGGAAAGCAACTCAGATCATACTGTCGGCGATATTCGCAACATTTTTGCAGCAGCCAGTGGAACGTCGTTTTGCTTCGTTTTAATGTTGTGTTTTGATTCAATATTGCATGCGTCTGAACACCTTCGAACGGTTTTGCATGAAAACATCATCTGCGATAGATAGATATCGTTTCGTTGCAGACGTATGACTGGACCAACCAGGCCAAAACTGGATGCTGAATATTTGAAGACTGCTAAGGAGCAATTTCTTGCGGTCGACTATAACGAAATCCATGAACTTGATGAAGCAGCTAAGAAGGTGAGAACGCTTTGATGCCATCGGTCCGATCAGCTATCGCTATTGTCATATTCAAATGGATTGCAGTATGAATCCTTTTCTTGCGTTTTGATCAAACCAAAATGCTCATTTTTTATCAGATGAATGCTTATATCTGTGTTGATTCATGATAGCAATTCTTAGGACGTCCGATAATTCCTGCGGTGCTATTTCAGGAGGTATTCGAGTCCGAAATTGTTTGGAGGAATGTCGCCGTGTTTGTTATTCTGCATGTACTAGCCGTTTTCGGCCTATATCACCTCATTTTTACGGCCAAATGGTTGACTGTTGGCTGGAGTGAGTTGATGTCTTTAGTGCTTTTGTAAAACCGTTTTGGGCTTCACCATGTTATTCAAACGCTTATTTTTTACTATTTGATGCACTTTTTGGATATTTGCAATATTTCAAGGCATCTGAAACATTTTGAATGTATGGTAATGTTCACTAGTTAGTTTTTTTGAAAGGTCGTCAACGCTCATGATGACTTATATGTTTCGAATGATTAATTTATGAAACATTTTCGTAAATTTATGATCGTTGTTCTTGATCGCATTTGTTCAACTCATATGGTTAATGCTAAGGAGCATATGAACTTTTAGCA